GTGCTCAGGATCTGTAAATTCAGCAGAGGTGAAAGAGTTTTGAAGGTGAAGACAGCAATATTCTTCTTCTTTATTTTGAATCTGGCTGCAGTGTGTTGCTCTTGTTTTGTCAGCCTGTCTGCTCATGTGGCCTCTGTGAGTCTGAGGAAGTAGCTCATAAAGTCCGTTGGTCTGTTTGGAAATCGTTCAGTTGGAAACCTGAGTCAGCAGAAAGTGTCGGGAGCCTTCAGGTAACAGCCCCCTTTTCTCTGTGTGCCCCTCCCTGATGTCCCTTTGTGCACAGCGGGGGGGGCACTCAGGCTCTCGTTTGCATAAATAGAGCGGCTCCACAGGCCCAGAGGAGGCGATTTAGAGTGACCACGTCTGTAAATTAGAGGAATTAGATTTTGGATTGCAAAACATGCAGAACAAAGGTCGGCCTTCTCTGTTGCACCGACATCCTGCTGTGAGCAATCGAAAACCTTTCATTTAAAGAACAGAGTTTTGAAGTTTAAACGATGTGATTCACACTATCAAGGCGTCAAATCATCGGGTGTGAGATTCTTACTTTAAAATGCATTTCTTTCTAAACAGTCTTGGCCTTGCATTCCTAATAAACAACACTTTTCAAACACACATACATGAAGAGTAGAAGGGAACTCTAGCGCTTCAGCCACTCCACACGTGGAGGTCGGTGCTCTCAGAGAACTTTAGACATATAAAAAATAATTCAGTGGACTCCTTCTTCAAGACAGAAACCAAAGAAAAAAATACATTTAAGCAGTTTCCACATCTGCACTCCTGAAAATATCTAGATCATTTCAGGAGGACATCCTGGAGAACAGGAAACATAATGCAGCAGGTCCATTAGAGCACGGAGGTCGTAGAGGTCGCTTGGTCGTGCTCCCACTGGCTCCAGGTGAATTCTCCTGATTATATCCTGCTGTGTTCTCACATCAGCTCACTCTGACTTTCTGCAGAATAAATACGAGGAGGCTGGAGGAGAAACTCAGAGTGAAAATGTGTCTGTTTGCGTTCACACATGCGGCTCCTCCTGGAAATATCAGGAGTTTTATGAAGACCTATATGAATACCTTTGTGCAGCTCACTTAGCGGTGAGGTTGATGTAGCTCACCTTACAGGTACAAACGTTTGTGGTCGTCTTTACCCTCACTGCTGTCTGACTCTTCTCTCTCCGTCTCTCTCTCTCTCTCTCTCTCTCTCTCTCTCTCTCTCTCTCTCTCTCTCTCTCTCTCTCTCTCTCTCTCTCTCTCTCTCTCTCAGGTGTTCGAGGCCATGATAGCCTGGATCAAGCACGATAAGCCGGCTCGCCTGGAGCACATGCCCAAACTGATGGAGCATGTCAGACTTCCTCTGCTGTCCAGGGATTACTTGGTGCAGGTATGAGACATGTTCTGTTCCCTTCACTGAGACACTCACTGATTTCAAATCATTTTCTTTGGCTGATTCCAATTTTACTTTTTCCCTTCTCTTTAAAAATGCAACAGCGTAAAGAACATTTCAAAATAAAAAAATACACTCTGTAGTGGAGTGGAGTTTTGTCATAACTCAGCTCCTCTGTCATCACGTCTTCGTACAGTCATATTGAATCTGCGATGGTGTCTCAGTCTGTGAATAAACATCGTGTTTTGGCGTTGCTGAAGCTCGGCACAGCAGGAGCTCCACACACACCCAGTGCTGTGATCCCCCCCGCTGTGACGCCTCAAAATATTGTTTCATCCTCAGTCTGAATGTGGGAGTCGTCTTGTTCCCTGGCTGCGTTTAAACTCGGCTGGTCAGTGATGATCTGCTAAATCCGTCCGACATGTTTTCCTGGTTTCAGATAGTCGAGGAGGAGGCTTTGATTAAGAACAACAACACCTGTAAAGATTTCCTCATCGAAGCAATGAAGTATCACCTGCTGCCAGCCGACCAGCGGCACCTCATCAAGACGGACAGGACCCGACCAAGAACGCCGATCAGCATCCCAAAAGTACACACACACACACACACACACACGAGCTGTTTTCACATGCGCACTCATGACAACACCTCGGCACGTCCAGTAGGAGGAAAGATCACAACAAACTGACTTTTCCTGAGTCTTAGTTTGAACACCTGTCAGGACATCAGAAAGAGAGCTTCAGTTTGAAAAGACATTTCCAGCAGCTGAAGGAGCTTTAACCGTTTAACTGAACTGTGCATGTGAACGTTCTGAGTGGCTGTGTGCTTGTTCAGGTGATGATCGTCGTGGGCGGTCAGGCTCCTAAGGCGATCCGCAGCGTGGAGTGTTACGACTTTCAGGAGGACCGATGGTACCAAGTTGCTGATCTGCCTTCAAGACGCTGCAGGGCCGGTCAGTCTGTCACTCTACCTGTTCTGTTTGTAACATGAGCCTGCTGTGGAGTTTAACAAAGCGACTAGCTGGATGTCCAGCAGTGTTGGACACAAACTGGTTTGAAGGATTTCTAATGTTTTGATTAGACTCTCTTCGTGTGTCCAGGTGTGGTTTCCATGGCCGGCTGCGTGTACGCTGTCGGGGGCTTCAACAGTTCACTGCGCGAGCGGACGGTGGACGTGTACGACGGAGGGAGGGACCAGTGGAGCGCGGTGGCGAGCATGCAGGAAAGACGGAGTACTCTGGGAGCGGCGGTGTTGACGGATTTACTGTACGCCGTGGGAGGCTTTAACGGAAGTATAGGTACGTTCACACCTGCACGACTGAAATCCTCCCCATGCCGTTGTTCACACATGCACCTCACAGCCGGAGACATTGATCTCTGTCGTCTCTCTTCAGGTCTGTCGACGGTGGAGGTCTACAACTCCAAATCCAACGAGTGGATCTATGTCGCCTCCATGAACACGAGGCGCAGCAGCGTGGGAGTCGGGGTGGTGGAGGGTGAGGATGAAGTGTTTGTGTGTGACCAGGGGCTCCTTAAACGCTGTTTAAATGAACAACTGACTGTGTGTGTGTGTGTGTGTGTGTGTGCGTGTGCGTGTGTGCGCGTGTCTGTGTGTGCGTGTCTGTGTGTGCGTGTCTGTGTGTGTGTGTGTTTCTCTGCAGGTAAGTTGTACGCAGTCGGAGGTTATGATGGAGCGTCTCGTCAGTGTCTCAGTACAGTGGAAGAGTACGACCCGGTCGCTGATCAGTGGTGCTATGTAGCTGACATGAGCACACGGCGCAGCGGGGCAGGTACACACACACACACACACACACACACACACACACTATAAGAACACAGGTCATTAAGGCATTTTCTCCCCATTCCTCTGCAATGACCGTTTCATTGTCAAAGTTGTCCATCTGTCCTGTAGTCCGAGCGGGTCTCAGCGACGTGCACGCCGTGTGTTGCTGTAACTGCACGGCGCGTGTTGCTGTAACTGCACGGCGCGTGTTGCTGTAACTGCACGGCGCGTGTTGCTGTAACTGCACGGCGCGTGTTGCTGTAACTGCACGCCGTGTGTTGCTGTAACTGCACGGCGCGTGTTGCTGTAACTGCACGGCGCGTGTTGCTGTAACTGCACGGCGCGTGTTGCTGTAACTGCACGCCGTGTGTTGCTGTAACTGCACGGCGTCGTCTCGTGGCCGTCTTGTAACCAATCCAAACATTTCTGTTAACATACGACTCCAGCTGAGGAGCTTCATCGCTCATAGAGAACATGTCAAGAACTAATTCCTGAAAAGACTTTCAAGCTGATTTAACACCATCAATACGAGCTCTCTGCCACTCGCAGTGCAGTAGCTCCGCCCCCCTGTGACGTCACACGCACACCTTCTATGGAGTTAATATGATCTTGTCTTCTGTGTTTGTGTGACCCCAGTTCACTTGATCAGCTGTGTTCTGGAAAAGGTGTGATACCACAGGTAATGGTTCAGGTCTGAGCGTTCATCAACTGTTTCCCGTGGAGAAACAGCACCACCTAGTGGACTCTGTCTGTAACTGTACGAGCAAAAAACCCTGAAGAGACTTATCATCTCATGTTTAAATATCGTCACACTGACTCCTCTGAGCGTGCTCCTGTTTCTAATCCGTCCAGGTGTAGGTGTGCTGGGAGGTCAGCTGTATGCAGCAGGAGGTCACGACGGCCCTCTGGTGAGGAAGAGTGTGGAGGTGTATGAGCCACAGATCAACAGCTGGAGGCCGGTCTGTGACATGAACATGTGCCGGAGAAACGCAGGTGAGACGACGACCACGCTGCACACGCAATGAATCAACCGATTTTGCACTTTGCCGCTGAACTTTCAAAATAAAATAGCGAGGGAGAGGAGGTCAAAAGGTTTTTAATTCTGTGATTTTGAACACGTTCGGTTATGTAGTTAGCTTCTGTTACTATGGCAACAGAGATGTTATGTCGCTCTCAGGTGCCGCCTACGTGTTTAAAACGTTTCTGTCCTCTAGGTGTGTGTGCCATTAACGGGCTGCTGTACGTGATCGGAGGAGACGACGGCTCGTGTAACCTTTCCTCCGTGGAGTTTTACAACCCGGCCACGGACAAGTGGAGCCTCATTCCACAAACATGAGCAACGGACGCAGCTATGCGGTGAGTGTGACTGACCAGCAGACGACTCCGTGTCCACGTCCACGCCTTTCAGATCGGACGCGGCCGTGTTGGGCGCAGCGCTCCGTGACGACACCTCGCCGTGTCCAATAGGAGAGATGATCAGATCATTTAGTCTCCTCCTCCTCCTCCAGCAGAACAACGATCAGAGCTTCTTCTTGTTAGTGGACAGAAATAAACATACTGTGCTGTTTTCCCCGACTGTTGTTTCGGTTACCTAGCAACCAGCGCTGTTGCTTTGTGTGTGTGTGCGCTCCCCTTCTGCTCTGCGTCCTTCCAGCACGGCGAGCGCAGCGCACACAGCGTTCCATCTGAAAGGCCGTTAAACGACGGGTGCAGACTTTATGACTTCGGGCCGTCCCAGATGAAAGACGATCAGTCGTGGTTACGTCTGCGCTCGTGGCTCCAAAGCGGCGGTCCTACGTCGCTCTGCGAGAGACGATCAAAGATGAGCTCACGGTCTTGTGTTTAAAGAAAGCCAAATATCTGACCGTGTCCGAAATAAACGACGATCGTCTCGCAATGTGAACGCTTCTACGATCTACGTCAACTCACCGACCAATAGAAACGCAGCATGAAACGTAGATTAATCAGCGCGACCACACAGACGCCAGAGCTGTCAAAGCGTACGCTAACAACTCCCAAGTTGGCCTCTTTTTCCTCGCTACGACCGTGTCAACGTCTTTCTATTCCTCCTCTTTTCTTTTCTTTTTTCTATGCACTTGAACGCCACTATGGCAAGAGCTCGCTTTCTGCTGACCGCCATGGCGACCGCTGCTCCATCAGGACGTTTTCAAATGATATCTGTTCATTCTCTCACTCCTGCAGGAGTCGCCGTGATCGACAAACCGTTATGACCAGAAGTCCCTCGCAGCGGAGGAGGAGGAGGAGGAGGAGGAGCGGCGCCCGAGAACAGGACGACCTTCACCCTTTGATGTCATAATCACGGCGGCATCAGGAGACGTTTTGGACACTGACTGGTTCTCCAATGAGATCGTGACTTTTAAGGACATGGCTGCTCTGATAAAGATCTGCATCCACGGAGGATGGCGAGCCGGGCGTGTAAGAGACTCGTCTTGGTTCTTAACGCCAAGTTCATACCGAGAGGCTGTATCAGCTGACTCGCACAGACTGGGAAAGAAAATGGGGCCAAATGGACTTTTAGACTTTGTGGTCGTGGCTTCACCTGGAAACCCGCACACATCACGCAACCTTTTCCCCCGGTTGTTTAAGCCCCGCCTCCAGAGAGCGGTGGTGTTGTTTTCTGCGTGGGGGGTTTCGGTGGCCTCGACCTTAAGAGCTGCAAGATATGTAAAAAAAAACAAAACAAAAAAAAACGTCTTTATATGCAAATCAGATATTTAATATTTTTGAGATGTTTTTAAAGATGTAGAGAACCACTGTGTGGCGTCACGCTCAGGCCCGACGATCCGATCGGACGCAGTCTGACTTGATTCTGTTGTGGACACACTACTGATGCACTGACTGACGGAGAGGAGGGCGGCGGGGAGACGTCTGCCCGTCTTCTCTGACTGACCAATCACTGACCTGCTGAAACATGAAGGCCAATAACGCCATCCAAAATTGTACAAAAAAAAAAAAAAGTGCCAGTTTTCTGATGAGCACGCTGCTGGAGTCGAGATGTGTTTTAACCTCTATATGGCGGTTTTGTCAGGTGGTTTTCTAAAGGGGGGGGGCAGCAGGGGGGCAGCAGGGGGGGCAGCAGGGGGGGCGGGTCCACATGCTCTGTAGAAATACAATAACAAGATAATAATGCGAGAGGCCGTCGAATAATTTCACATCTTTTAAAAACAAAATGTTTCATTTTCTCAGCTTAGCGTTTCGACTCATTCGGACCACAGTGGGTGTTTTTTTGTTTTTTCAGGTGTAATTATTAAGTTGACTGACGGGGTGCCACAGCTTCACCTTATGATGATGTCATCAGACGACCTCTCAATGTTTTGTTATTTTTCTGCCTCATCCAGAAATCACGGAGTAACTTGAAGCTTTCAGCTGTAATAACAAAAAGTTACATAAAAACAAATCTTAACCACCACGCTGTTGTTTGTTTGTTTGTTTGTTTGTTTGTTTTTGGTCGAATACGGGAATATTATTTTGGCTTGCTAACAAAACGTTTTCTTGTTAACAGTTTAAAGTTTCATTCGACTCAAGAAGAAGAAAAAGCAGAACCGAGGTGGCGAGCTTGTGAATGTTTGTCACTGATTGTATTTTTCTCGTTCATGAAGAAAAGAAAAAAAAAGCCTTCACAAAGTCAGAAAACATTTAAAGGTAATATCCACTCTGCTGCAGGCGAACGACTCAGAATGATGAGTGACTTAAAAACACACCATGAGGTGATTTCACTTCCTGAATGACGATTTAAAAAAACAGGAACGTTTTCAGAGTCCGTCAACTTCCTGTTCCACAAATCTTATTTTGATTTCTCAGCGGCGCCGACATGAACAAAACTGTGTGTGAGAGTGTGTGTGTGAGAGTGTGTGTGTGAGAGTGTGTGTGTGTGAGAGTGAGAGTGTGTGAGAGTGAGAGTGAGCGTGTGAGAGTGAGAGAGTGAGAGAGTGAGAGTGTGTGTGTGTGTGAGAGTGTGTGTGTGTGTGCGAGAGAGAGAGAGACAATGTTTGTGACGGTGTGTGTGTGTGAGACGATGTTTAAGACGATGTGTGTGTGTAACGTGTGTGAGACTGTGTGTGTGTGTGAGAGACGATGTTTGTGAGACTGTGTGTGTGTGTGTAACGCGTGTGAGACTGTGTGTGTGTAACGCGTGTGAGACTGTGTGTGTGTGTGAGAGACGATGTTTGTGAGACTGTGTGTGTGTGTGTAACGTGTGTGTGTGTGTGTGTGATGTTGATGTGTGTGTGTGAGACTGTGTGTGTAACGTGTGTGTGTGAGACTGTGTGTGATGATGTTGATGTGTGTGTGTGCGTGTGAGACTGTGTGTGTGTGTGTGTGAGGCTGAAAACACTTTAAATATGGACACTCCTCTGATTCTGTCAAACCTCCAGGCAAACTTTTATTATTGCTGCTTCTTCATGGCACAAACAACAGAAAACAACAGGTCATGTTTTTCATACATGTTCTCGTTATGCCATGCAAGCTCACTACAGTACTGCTGCGAGATTAGCTTATTATATCAACACAGAGCGAGGGGACCAATCAGAGCAGGGCGGTGTTCCATTAGCCACACACAGTGCACGACTAACTTCTACAGCTGGTTTTACAGTTTGTGAGTAGATACAAAAACGCTTATTATCATTGTCATGAACACACAAAGAATGGTTATGATAGTAAGAGCAATATTTAGAATTATTAGAATAAAAAAAACACATTCTCAGGGCAGCACAAACAGAACGAACCAACGGGGGCCAAACGTGATGTTTGAAATAATTTAAACATTTCTGACATTCATTCCTTCGGGTGTTTCTTCTTCTCTTTTTTTTTCTTTGTTATGTACAGTATATATTTATATTTGTATAGAAGTAGTGCTTCATCTTTAGAAATACAAATGAAAGAACACAAAAAGGGCTGCATTCAGGGAATGCTGTGCAAATAACTCCGCTTTTCTTTTTAGACATCAAACCTCCAAAGATTTCCCCGACAAACGAACCCTCCCCCTCATGTTCTTCACGAGCGTCCACAAAACACAAAATCTCATTCAGAATTCTTCACAGCCGACGCCAGCACACACCACCACCACCGCCGCCGCCGCCGCCGCCTCCGCCGCCGCCTCCGTCTTTATGGCCTCAGAGCGACTCGACGAGCCGCAGGCGTTCTGATAATAGAACGTTTTTTAGAAGATTTAAAAACCCCACCCGCTAACGAGGGAAACTACTCGCCCCCGTTTTTGAATCATCTCGACGACATGACCTCCAGAAGAAGAAGAAACACTGACCAGGACTGACTCAGAGCCCGCCCTCATTTAACCCGCCAGCAGGAAATGACACGCTGCGGGGACGTTTCTCATGCTAGCTGTTCATACGTAGCCTTCTTAGCTAATCAGACGCACCACTTTGAGGTGGGGGCGGCGGGGGGGAAATGTCAGATGAAGCTTCTTCTTCTGTGGTTAAAATCAGTGCTGGCAGTGTTGGCACGACACAGCCTTTAAAGCTACAATCAAACTCCGACCATGGAGACCTTCAGAGACCTGATCAGACCGCTGCACAGCAACGTCTGAGAGAAAGACCCGAACCCCCACAATTCCTTTTTCTTTTTTTCGCTTTCAGAGAAGCAGCAGAAGCAAAGTCGACCAGATACTGGCTCTCCTCTCCTCGGCGACTATCACACCTTTTTAAAAAATCCCTCAGAATCTGAAACACCTCAATGCAGCGAACGGAACAAATGAAGAGACGAGTAAAAAAGAAAACCAAAAACACAAAAGAAGAGAGAGCAAACAAATCCATCAACGTTAGAAACTCTCCTCATCTGAGAACAACTGTTTCCCATGAGCACCTTCAGTGTAACGCTGAGTCAGCAGCTTTCTCCTTCAAAATAAAACACAGACTTCTCCTAAAGTGAAGCTGCTCCATTGTCCCTTCTGGGCCTCCGTACATGTGTGGTGGTGACTGTGTCTGTAGAGACTCTGTCCTCTCACTGGATTCTACTGTTCTGATTTGTGACGGTTGACTCGGGACGTTTCTGGGCGGAGCTGGTGTGTTTCCTCCAGCCAATGAGAGCGCAGCAGGTGAGTTTAGGAGTGGATACTATTCAGTGATTGGATGAGATTGAAGTGTAGGTACAAGCAGTAAATGTACACACTACGTCCTGCAGGGGGCGTGTGTGTGGAGCCCAGCAGGAGGAGGGGCTTAGTTTGAATGTTGTGTTTACAAACTTTTCTACTGACTCCGCCTCTCAGAAATATCACACGTATGCATTTAAAACGGTTTGCTTTAGGAGACTGGAGGGCAGCGTTTCTGCAAAGGCTCATGGGAAACAGTTTAACATTTGATGATCTACGACAACCTGGTGATGAAGGAGAGGATGAACAGCAGACTCTCAAACAGCTCCGAGGTCAAAGTGGAACAGATTCTTTTTCATCACGGTGACCATCTCTCCAACGTGTGTGTGTGTGTGTGTGTGTGTGTGTGTGTGTGTGTGTGTGTGTGTGTGTGTGTGTGTGTGTGTGTGTGTGTGTGTGTGTGTGTGTGTGTGTGTGTGTGTGTGTGTGTGTGTGTGTGTGTGTGTGTGTGTGTGTGTGTGTGTGTGTGTGTGTGTGTGTGTACACCTGAACAATAACCACATGAACTTGTTTTTGAAAAAAGGTGAATGAGTTTTTAAAATCAGTCAGAAGGTGAAAACATCCGGGACGAGTCGCCTCGCACCGAAGACGTCACTTTAAGAAATGTCGACTCCCTTGAGTGAGGCGGACGTGGACGCCAAACTAAAAGAAAAAGAAAAGTCTTGAAGAGTGTCTGAAATGCCAGTCCTCGAGCTGTCCAATGAAATTCCTCAGAGTGAAAGAAAAAATAAAAACAGAACAACAACAAAAGAAAAGTTTCTGAAAGTTTGGTCGTTTTCTTCTCAGAAGTCGACGAGTCGTGAGCGGAGCGTCCGACCACGACGGCGGCGATGAACACAAACACAGTTCAGGTGAAGACGATGATTCCTTTTCTTCTTCATGTGTTTTCTTTTTTAAATGAAGTCAGACGAGGCAGCGGTGAGCAGCTGTGGCAGACAGGCGTGATTCTAGAAGGTGAACTGGTGTTGGTGCTGCATTCATGACACGGGGAAAAAGTTGTAAAAATGCACGTCTAACGCTTATCACTTTTTAAAGAGCGGCCCGATCCGTCCAAAAGCAGCTCAAACATTTCTTTGACATGTCTGATCACATAATTTATCAAATTAGAGCGATGATTAAAATCAAAGGTCGTCTGTACTTGATGTCGTGAGACGACGTAGAGCTGTTTGTTTTTTTACTGACTCACTCGTTGCTTCGTCTTCTCCTGGTCAGAAAGAACGTCTGAGTCATGAATCAAAGTCAAACTGCAGGTCGAGGTCAAAGACTGTTTCCTCCCCGACATGAATGCAGCACGTGTTGAAGTCCGAGTGGGCGTCCTCCGCTCGTCTTGATGAGACGTCGAGGGACGCTGAGCGCCCCGTGGTTTGTGATGTGACGTCTGACGGACTGAAGAGGGCGGGTCCTCGCGGCAGTGACGGTCGGTCTCTGAGGGGGGGGGGGGGGGGTCTAGATGGATTTGGAGGAATCCTGTTTGCTGATCAGAACCTCCAGGAGGCGGAGTTTGGCCTTGATCCTCTTGTACTCTCTGTACTCCTCCAGCTTCGGGACCCGGTCCTCCTTCTGGACATTCCTGCAGCAGAGAGCGGGGACGGAGGAGAAGACATTTAGTATTTAAGGAGACAAACGGGCACGAAGGCTGATCCCGGGGTCAAACGTCTAAACACGCCATCGTGAGCACGACATGAAAATGATGATTATCAACCAAAACAAAAGGCTGAATGATAATCTCAGATAATGAAATGTTATTTCTCTAATTTGACGGATTCAAATCAGAGTTTGCTTTAAGTGCTAACATGATGAAGGTATCTGCATGTTCTGTGTGTACAGAGAGTTTGGTGTCGTCTCCCCCTTACCTTCCGTTTCGCTGGTAAAAATCTTCTTCAAACTCTCGGATGGTCTTCCTCAGCTTCTTCTTCTCTGCTCTGGCCTTCCACAGCTGTTCCAGCAGCTCTGGCCTGAAGCGTGACGGGGGACAGGACGGTTAAAACACACGGAACAAAATAAATGCTGGAAAGTGTAGTTCATGAAGTGGGCACTGGAGGCAGCCAGTTTGTGTGTGTGTGTGTGTGTGTGTGTGTTCGTACATGGACGAGGCGTTGGAGCTGGACAGCCGCAGGTCCAGTGCCAGCCTCCCGGACCCCTCCTCCATCTTGGCTCTGTCTGATTGGTTCTGGCTCCTCATCGACCCGTCAGTCGGGGTCACGATGTCGACGGCCATGATGACCTCGGAGCTCTGCATCTCCCCGCCGCTGCTCTCTCCCTCCTCTTCTTCCTCCTCCTCCTCGTCTTCCTCCTCCTCCCTCTCCTCCTTCCTCTCCTGTTGGTCTCCTCCTCCTCCTCCTCCTCCTCCTCCTCCTCCTTCTTTTTCTTTCCCCTCGTCCTCGTCCTCCTCTTTGATCTCCTCCCAGAAGTGAGCGGTTTCACCTTCAATGATTGGCTGGAGGGTCTGACTCCGCCTTTTACTGGAGGGCGACACCTGGAGGGGGGGAGAGAGAGGGGAGGTTAATGTGTGTGTGTGTGTGTGTGTGTGTGTGTGTGTGTCTCTGTGTGTGTGTGTGTGTGTGTGTGTGTGTGTGTGTCTGTGTGTCTCTCTGTGTGTGTGTGTGTGTGTGTGTCTGTGTGTGTGTGTGTCTGTGTGTGTCTCTGTGTGTGTGTGTGTGTGTGTGTGTGTGTGTGTGTGTGTCTCTGTGTGTGTGTGTGTGTGTGTGTGTGTGTGTGTGTGTGTGTGTCTCTGTGTGTGTGTGTGTGTGTGTGTGTGTGTGTCTCTGTGTCTCTGTGTGTGTGTGTGTGTGTGTGTGTGTGTGTGTCTCTGTGTGTGTGTGTGTGTGTGTGTGTGTATGTGTGTGTGTGTGTGTCTCTGTGTCTCTGTGTGTGTGTGTGTGTGTGTGTCTCTGTGTGTGTGTGTGTGTGTGTCTCTGTGTGTGTGTGTGTGTGTGTCTGTGTGTGTCTCTGTGTGTGTGTGTGTGTGTGTGTGTGTGTGTCTCTGTGTGTGTGTGTGTGTGTGTGTGTGTGTGTATGTGTGTGTGTGTGTGTGTGTGTGTGTGTGTGTGTGTGTGTCTGTGTGTGTCTCTGTGTGTGTGTGTGTCTCTGTGTGTGTGTGTGTGTGTGTGTGTCTCTGTGTGTGTGTGTGTGTGTGTGTGTGTGTGTGTGTGTGTGTGTGTGTGTGTGTGTGTGTGTGTGTGTGTGTCTCTGTGTGTGTGTACTTACTGTGAGAGGTGTGATACTAACTCTAGTGAGCATCTGTTTAACTAATCTGTAGCGATCATAAAGAGGCTTCACCACCAGACGCTCCTCTCTGGTCACCTGACAGACACAAAGGTAAACACAGTGGAAAGTTTAAAATCACTCAACACATGTCGACGTGAGGCCGCCTTCAAAACAGAGAAACAGAGACTCCCTCTAAAGTGTTGATCGAAAACGACCTCCCAAACACGGACGGCGTTGCTGCACAGAAGCGTCTGTAGCAGAGAGACATCAAATGAAGCCCCGCCTTTAACTGCTCATCATCGCTTTGCACTTCAGTTCATAGTAGGTAGGAGCATGCTAGCGTCTCATCCAGTCTTAAAGGTATATACACTCAAATGTTGCATCTAGGGGGCGCCAGTGGCCTTGTGATTAGTTTGCACGTTCGATGTATAGAGGCTGAATTCCTCAAAGCGGGCGCCCTGGGTTTGAATCTGACCCGAGGCTCCTTTCCTGCATGTCACTCCCCAGCTCTATCCACTGTCCTGTCTCTCCAATAAGGGCCCAAAAAGTCAAAAAAATGTAAAAATGTAATGTTTAGGATGTAGGGACTCACCGGTCGACCATGCAGACCCTCATAGTGCAGCAGGTTCTTCTGTAGGACTGTTTTCTCACAGGATAGCTGCTCCTTGGTCATCTTCTGCAGAGACAGATTGAGTTGATAAAGTCGCCGTTATAAAACCTCCAACACATGGCGGCCCTGAGCTGTGCTGCTTCAGCTCCTTACCTTGATGTCATCGGGCCAGCCGTCCTCCTGCCTCTTCCCTTTGACCCTGCACTGGATCAGCTCCAGTGTTTCCTCTCTGGTGGGACCCTTCGCCTCCCCCGCCGCGTCGCAGGCGCCGTGCTCCAGCGTGGAGCCGAAGCTCTTGGGTAAGGTGTTGCTCCGGGGACGAGTGTGGGGGCCGAGCTCGCTCTCTGCACGTTGTTTGGCATCTGGGGGGGGGAAGAGAAGGAGGAGAAAGAAAGGTGGTGAGAAAAGGAGACAAGAGGATAGGAAGGAGGGAAGAGATGAAGAGGATAGAGAAAGACAGAAGGAACCAAGACAAAGAGACAACACATAACACATCTCTCACTGGAGCGTCAGACATGCAGGAGTCTGAATCATAACTGCAGTGGATAAAGTCAGCCAGTTATAACATGAGGAGAAAGACACACACATGCTCAGACTGGACACGCACGCACGCACGCACGCACGCACGCACGCACGCACGCACGCACGCACGCACGCACGCACGCACGCACACACACAGAACAAAACAAACGAACACACCCGGTCAAAACCAAAACACAGCAAGCAAAAAGCTTTTCCCCCTCGGTCAGGACATGAAGATAAACTCACATCAGTCTAATATTTAAAAACCTGAGACTGAACTGCTGCTGGGTGTCTGGATGTCTCTGGAGTCTTTTCCACACATGCACAAAATTCCTGAAAGTTTCCTGACAGTTTTAGGGGAGCTGCATGAACGTGGACGGAAGAATTTTCACTCTGACCAGTTTGATCCTCCTGCACGTAATGAAGCTGTTAAATATTCATTTTTGTTTGTGAGTATTTTCTATTCCCCTCGTTCATTACTTTCCTGAAAGCATTTAATAACTCGTAGCATAACGTCAGACTCTGTAGCTTTGTCTGCCATCTTGGATATGTTTTAAACATATCTTTAAAACATCTAAAAAAAAAAGGTGAATCTGCAGCTGTTAGGACACGTGAATAGAACTGTTTTCACACGCCGAGGGAGGCTTTAGCTGAAGTATAGGTATGCTCACACTGGAGGAGAAAATCCCGCTGTTTGCATTCAGCTCACCCTGAAAGCTTCAGGAGTTTTGTGCAAGTGTGAAAACACTATGAGCAACTCAAGAAGATTTCCGGGGCAGCCTGACCAAAACTCTTTACTTTCAGGAATGCATGTGTGAAAAAAGCAAAGGTAAAGCTTCACCTCACTCTATCTAGAGTTCATTATCTCGTCTCGATAACAGTTTTCCTAATCTCCAACATATTAGAAAAACACCCACAGTGAAAGAGAACAGCTGTCAGAAAATATTGAACATCTTACCGTTCTTCTTTTTTTTTAAAAATCATTTGGAAACAAAAAGGAACAAAAAACCTGGACCTCTCTACTTCCTGTTACTTCACACTTTTAAAAAGACGGCGCTCCAAACAGTCTCACCCACAGCATGCGGATTAAAAACACACAAACAAAGAAGCCAGAAGCTCTACTGATGCTGCCGCACTGTGACTGTATGTAGCAGTGTATGTGATGTCTACTTACTGAGGGGTTGGTACTTACTGAGGTGAAACAGTCTAGAGCTCAGGCCTGAGTAGGGATGGGGTTGGGGGGTGAGTGTGTGATGGGGGGTGAGCAGATAGAGAAGGAGGAGGATGAGGAAGAGCAGGAGGAGGAGGAAGGGGAGAAGGGAGCATGGTGGCGTCTGTATGAATGGAGCAAAGCCTGGTGCCTCAGCGTGCT